AGAGCTGGGGAACACCCAACCATAAATATTAGCTCTCGGACACTTTTAAATATTAAGAGCGAGCTGGGAGCCCCACGCAATAATGTATTCTGAAAGCATCGGCCTTGTAGTGGATTATTTATGTGGGGACGTGCGAAGCCAAAAACAAGGTGTGTCCATGAGCTCTTGTTATTACATTTAAAGCAATAAAAAATCTCACACATTTTGAATTCACTCATTCATTTCCAATATTGTAAAAATCTAAGCATCTTGCTTGATGGATTTGTGTTTCGTGAAGAGAGAGAGAGAGAGAGAGAGAGAGAGAGAGAGATAGAGAGCACAAAAAGAGCAGCTGGAAAGTAGTTTTTCCATGTTCTGTTGTTTTCAGCTTTTGATACGATTGAGATCAAACCACAGCCCCGCGCTCCTCTCATGTGTGGAGTTTTTCATTAGTGAAGACAGCAGATGAATAGAGGTCTGTGTAACTTGGCTTAACCTCTCTCTGTGTGTGTGCTCCAGGAGCATGACGGTCCTGTCTGTAAATCTCTGCGCTGCTACAGCCTCGACCTACCTCAGCTGACAAATTGCCCTCATTCCAATGTGGAGACAAACTTTACACCAGTTGTTTGAGATCTCTGAAGCACCTTTTTATGTTAACACTGAGCTCACTTTTAACTCGCTTTCAGGAGGTCCTGCCCCAGGAAATGATTAACGTCAACTGAAAAATTAGAGGAAGGACTCAACCCATCTTTTATATTCACTTTATTTAAAATCCCAAACTTTTTATGGATGGAAACAGTACAATAAATATTTGTTTGTTATTATCTGTTCAACATTGACATGAGCATTAATTTGTTACGCTCATCTTAATGAGGGCCACAGTTACCGAAGATTTTATGTTTAAAAGCTGTTAGCTGTATGCATGATCAGAATAGTCTGTTTACCACAGTCCTTGCTGCAAAACCATTTTCTGAAAGAGGTTGAATCTAAGCACATTATCTCCTTTATCTTCCTCCTGAATCAGTATGGAGGAGTAGGTAGCCTGCAGTAAAGATGTAACTTACCTGTTGCCGTAGTTACCTGGAAACATATTTGTTGGCAAACAGTTTCGTACATTACTGCCACCTTGAGATAGTGATGTTAATGTTGTCTCTACCGAGTATGGATGGGCAATTTAGGCCTGATATTTTATCTCAATGTTTTGTGAGATTTATTGCAGTCGTGATTTAAATGAGAGATGCACTGATCAAAATGATGCCACTGATTTGGGATGCCTAGTTTTTGTAAATCTTTATCCCCGAGCAGAGATTTGTGACATGTGTCACAATATGTTGATGGCTCCCAGGATGAAACAAGCAACTTTGCTGTACTTGGTTCAGTCTTCCTGTTATCTTCAGAACATCTTGCTCTTTTCTTGCTTTCTCTCTCTCTCTGGCAATCTTAACTGCAGATCTGTCTTAGAAAATGTTGTTTCTTTTTAACTAGCTTCTTGCCTCTCATTTGATTCAGTTGGCAAACAAATATACTTAAGTCAAGACCAAGTTAAAGTCCACAGGTTGCAATTCCGGCCCCAGATCTTTTTGCATGTGGCTTGCATGTCATCGCTATTCATGTGCAAGGTCTTTTCCCGTACAAGCTTCTTCACACAGTCCAGAAACATGTACGTTAAGCTAATTGATCTCTCTTAGTTGCCCTTTGGAGTAAGCGTGTTGGGGGCATTGTTTGTCCTATGTCTCTGAGTTGTCTTGTGAAAAAGTGGTGACTTATCCAGAGTGCAGTCCACCTGTTTCTCATGCTTAAAATGCAATCTACGAAGATAAATTGCAGTAACTACAAATATACTTCAATGACAGCTAACCACCAGTTTATTCATACATTTATTTATGGGGTACATTTATTTTTTGTGGTTTGTAAGATTTCTTAGTGTCTGGCCTTTTATTTTTGTTCTAGTAGAGTATAATGGAGCTTAAGGTATCAAAGGACCTGTTAGCTTTTAAAAGACACATTGGCTTGCCTTTGAAGTCACGACTCCTCAAAACTTGGCCAGAACTCAACAAGGTCTTATAGACCAGGAGGTGCTTTCCACTATTTAAAAGGCGGGACATGATATAAGCAAGACTAAACGCAAGAAAGGGATGCATTTAATCCCAGTGAAAATCCCAGAAGAAAAGGAGATTTACATTTTCCAAAGGGGTACTGATATCCTGCAAGATAAAAGGAGTTTTGTCCTCTCAGCTCTCTCTGTATTCTAGACAATGCAACGTGCCTCTGGCCACCTGCTCCGACTCGTCTGCTGACAACACCCATAATGAATCTCTAATAAATGTCCTCTTTGCATACTCCTGGTGTCACTCTACTGTCACCAATACAGCTCAGATCACCTTTGCACGTTCTTAGACCCCCATCCCGCCCAACCTCTTCCCTCCCGAGTCACACCGGAGAATATCTGGAACGAATTCATTCGCTGAAGTCCTTGACAGTCCTCGGCTCTGCATAATGTTCGGAGAGCGGAGGAATGTCGTGGTGAGTCAGAGGGATGAAGTCCTGACCTATAATTATTCCCTCGTTGGTCCCTGAAATGGTGGGGTCAGGTCTGGACAGCTGGGGCAACATCCTGCTGAGGCTCTCTGTAACGGGCATGCTGTCACACAGCAAAATTAGCTCCTTTGTGGATCTGGCCCTGTCTTCGCTGATGGATGGGCAAAGAGAGGCATCAGAAACAGGACAGATGATTTAGGATGCGGTCTACAGTTGTGACAATCTGTATAAATTATCCGGATGCATCGCTTGCCAGTGTAAATGTCTGCGTTTTATTTATATTTTGTCACCAGTGGAGTTTGGCTCCCTGAGAGTCGTCATTAAAAATTTAAATAAAAATATTTCACTGAGACAGATTTCACCAGGCATTAACTCTTGTGATGCTGAACAAAAAAATGATGAGTGGATGCTGTAATGATTTAATCCAACAGAGCACAGGTATTCTATGTTACCCAAAAGGACCGAAGACTTATGGATGCACAGCAAACCCTTCAGCCAGACGAGCTCTTACTTCAGCTCCGCGTGGTAACGAAAACAACCATCCCAAGTCTCATTAGTGCTCAGACTCTTAAAATTTTTCATCCTTATCTGCTGCCTTTTTTTGCGAGGGAGATTCTCTATAGACATGACTGTCCAATCAGGAATCCCTTTGAAGCCATTTGACCGCTATCCTTGACTTTAAAAGCACAACAGTTACTGGCACTGGATGTCAAATTAAACCCCTGTAATGATAACTTCTCTGCCAGGATCTCATGGGAAATTTCTTCTGGATTACATTGTACGGAAAGGCTTTGAACTTGACATTGAACCTAAACAGACTCTTTGCTTGCGGATCCCTGAAGTTTGAATGTCTTTTCACAGCTTCGTTTTATGGGGAGGACAGGGAACATCCAGATCCCAGACCCAGTTCCAGGTCATTGACTAGAAAAACTTTTCTCTGGGAACTCTGAACTTTGTTAGGAATCTATGCACTTGATCATTCATCATTCATTCAGAGGTATTAAAATGGGGAGCAGAGAGGCAATAAACAGTATTATAATTGTAATGGATGGATCATATGTTCCAGTAATATATGAAATATGCAGTTTTTACTTAGTTCTTTTTTGTGTGTGTGTTTTAGCCTACTCCTAAATGCCCTTTATATTGTTGTTGCTGACACTTGTCACTTAGAAAAGAAATATTTAATGTGGATCCATCTTTGTCTTTTTTAGCCTTGAAAATATGTTGAAAACTATTAACCTTTGTCGATTCAATAAAACATCGACATCAGTTCCTAAACATTCATTCTACTTGATTGATAGTTGATTTTAAAATTAGTTTGTGATTGAAACTTTATAAAAATGATTCTTTTGGAATTAGGGCTGTCCCATTCGCGTATTTAGAGCAGAAGACATGTCCACGTTCATCAGACATAGTGACTCAAGTTTCAGACATAGGCCAGAGTCAAATGTAAAAGCAAAGTCTTGCAGATCTGAATTGGACTTGTGCTTGAGTCTCATTAACAATCTTGCATGTAATCAGAAGTGAAAGCAAGTGATGTGTAAGTTAAAGACCGTCCTTACAGGTGATGTATACATTTTCCTTTGAAAAGGTGTGCTTTATTATAAACAGGTGATGCTCACGGCTATTAATTGTTCATAACCTGCTCATGTTCAGGGTCATGAAAGATTTGGACCCTGGATCAAACTATAATAACTCAGAGCAAACTCCAAGCTTGTAGTTATAATTTATTGAAGTCTTGAAGCCACATTTCCTTTCATAGTGTATGACTGAGACATAGAAAATTACTTATTAATTATGAAACGTCCTCCTGGGGCGGTATGAATTAATGCACGGTCGGTACCAAATGACCTGTGGCATTTATGTTCTTGAATTGAGTAGGGTTAGGGCAGAATAACCAGTACACACCTATTGGACTAGCAGGCCATTCACTGATTTGTTTGACAAAGAATAACAAAGCTCTTAACCATAACGATTACAGGAAATGACCTCTTGGACGGGAAATTTTACCTCTTCTGGTGTTTCACTTGGTAATCTTACATCTTTCTACACAAGAGCTTTAAGAACAGACATAGCTAACTGTATGGACCAAATGTTTGGTTTGTACCATCACAGCACTTAGAACGTGTGCAGTCTACCACAGCTGTGTGCATCAGCTTTGCCCTCAACACACAGGAACGTGTGCTGAGAGATCAAACAAAATCCTCACAAAAGCAGAGGTCACTGCGCTCTCCTGAAACTGACCAGAGGTGTGCTGCAGCCCACTTCTCTCCTTTGGGTGGAGATGGTCTGACTCAGACTTACACATTAATCAATCACCAAGAGGGCTGTGCTTCATGCTAAGCAGTGTGTGGATGTATATCGTGACAGGAAGAGAAGAGGGTCAGAGTTACGTATGTGCATTTTGATGGATTGATTGTTGCAAATGTATTTTCAACAGTATCTCCTGATGAGTAACGATGTTTTCCCTTCTCCCTTTGCAGAATAATGGCTCTTTGGTGTGGTGCCAGAATCACAAGCAGTGCTCCAAGGTAATGTGGTCTCATTTCTTTCATGAATGAGATGCATGCCACGTACATGGCTCATTATCAGAGAATAATATGACTTAAAGCGTACGAGTTGCAACAGGACCGGTCTTTTCATGCCTCCACGGCAAACATGAACTGTTGATGTAGAGTATCGTGAGAGAAGAGGAGCGTTTAATGAAATTGCTTCGGCTTTTGTTGATGCCTATTTGCTCCTAATTGGGATACAACGAAAGAGGATTCTGAGGAGAATGAAAAAGTAGAAAAGCAAGTTGTGATCGCTTGTTGTTGTTATTTGGAGTTTTAGACTGATAAATTATTATGGCATGTGTCCCGTAGGGCTTGTTTGTGTTTTGTGCCCCGTTTGAAGGATGGCTGATACAAAGCTGGCGTTGACGGCTCTTCTGAATAGATGGTGCTGACATACTCCATCAGACTCTCCCGGAGCCGTTGACAGGCCCTCGGAAATGCGCTGTAAAGGCCGTAGGCTGGGAGCAAGGATGGATGCACCACCAGAGTTGATCCATGTAGTCATCTCAGCAGGGCTCTCTATAGCTTTAAAGACGCCTTCATCTCCTCTATCTAACTGGAAAATAAGAATTTGCTTCTTTAATGTAGCTTCAGTGCTGTTTAAATGTTTATACCCTGTAAATATTTAACATTTTGCCGTCTTACAACTGAGCTTTATTAGGTTTTTGTACAACAAACGAACAAAAGCAATACATGGCCTTCAATTTTCTTTTTTTTATAAAATCTGTGGCTTGCAGGTGTATCTGGTCCACTGATCCCAAGATGCTACAAATGTTTTAGGGGATATTTCAATCAGATTTCTACATCAAGAAACTGATTTTCTGTTTTTCGTTGCAAAACAGTACAATCTCAGTCAGACTGGATTTTGCCTGTAGAGGTGTTTGTTAATCCTTATGCCAGGAAAGTATACAAATGCTTTCTTTTGTATTTTCTTGAGAGGAGTTATGTAGTTTAATGTAACCCGAAATTCTTGTGGATTTTGAGCCACAAAGACTAAAATTTTATTATATTTGAATGAAAAACCTGTGAAATACTCCTTTAATCCAATGCTGATATTCTCCTACATCAGGTTTAGTGTCATTAGGAGCTCACAGTTGTCTAACTGCAATAATCTGTGTGATCTGGATTTTCTCTGTTACTTTATTACCATTTTTCTTTACCCAGTAACCTTAAATTCTTACCAGACAAATAATCTGAAAGTGATGGTCAGACCTTCTTTAGTGCCTTAGGGATGAAAGTTGTCCTCTACTCCAAAGACTGTGTCTATATTAGCCAAAAATGAATGAGTCTTGGACATACATACAACAAGGTTTTAAGCTAAAAATGCCCCTCCTTCTTACTATGAGATCTCATTACAACACTACTGTTATCTCATGTGTTTTTAAGGGATTTCACAGTAATGAGGGGTTCATGCAAATTCTTGCCACACTTTTCAGTTGTTATCTGTAAAAAAAAAATCACAAATTTTCCTTCTACAGTAATGCCTTTGGTTGCAACAAGCCAAAATGAGAGAAAGTTTCAAGGATATGAATATGTTTGCAAGGCAATGTATCTGTTTCTGCTCTCATCGACTCTTAAATGTATCAAACTAACATATAAGGACAAATGTTTTTGTAACGGTTGTGACAAATCGCATGCAGGCCCTCAGTGTGTTCATCAACTCCTCCGTCCACAGACATAAGTTATTGAGGAATGCACACTGAGAATTAGTGCAAACTGATTGTTATTAATTGGATAGATGTTGAAAAATACAGAGTGGCTGCAGTTTTACATGGTTGCCTAACATTCCTTCATGTGTGCTGCTAATATTAATCACAATCAGTGTCCGATATCAACTGCCTTTGCTAAATTCACCCTCTGTGCTCAATTTGTAGATTCCCTTTTTTGAATTTCAAATGGTTCCTACGCAGTTTGCATCTGGCTTGGGTACAGCAGAGCTATTGTGCTTTGTGTTTTTTGCTGCATTTTCAAATGCAAACGTTTCTTCTTTTATGTTTCTTGTAGCATCCCCATAATGTTTAAAGTTGAGCTACAGTGCCTCGAACCTGGAAATATTATAGCGTATTTTCTTTAACTTCTATGTGATTGACTAAACACTATGTTACAAATGGTTTTCAAGTTTTTCCAAATCTCAAGCAAAAAGATACCTTGCAAATCCAGCCCTCATTTTTCCAGTAGCCTTAAATAAAATCCAGTGCAATCCATTGCCTTAAGAAGTCAACATATGAGTACATAATTACTTGTCTGTAATTTGGTTTCTGTGTAATGACAGCTCTTCTGCAAATGCCTAAGAGGTTTATGAGTTAATATTACTGAACAAACATCATCATCAAGATGAAGTGATGATAACATCAGGAAAGTTAGGGATAAGGTTGTGGAGGAGTTTGTAGCAGGGTTTGATCTGGTTTATGTTCTCCATCTCTGTCCTCACACATGACGCCTTGGGAAAGTTGCGCACTGTTTCTGGGGGCGTGTCCTTTAGCTTCGACCATTTCTGCACATCCCAATTTGCTGCAGTCTGCCTTCAGCACAAGTGGTGCCTGCTAGACAGGAGGAGCAAAGAAAAATCTAAAACCATGCTTGTTTTAACAATTATATGCACAGTTGAATATAGCCAAAAGTGCAACATTGGAGGAAAACATCTTAGAGGTTTGAAAAGGATTCAACCATAGATAAAATCAAGAATGTGTGGCAAAACTTGAAAACTGGTGTTCACAGATGCTCTCCATCCAGTCTGATTATTCTTCCTTTTCACAAAGAAGGACAAGCAAAGAATACAGTCTCTCGGTGTACAAAGACATTCTTCAGATGACTAGTGGCTGTAAGTCCAGCAGAAGGTATTTTCACAAAATACATGTAATACCTTGGAAGGGCTATATATCACTGAAATGCTGTACTGTTTTCGAGGTAAATGTGCGAGTAAAGATTTTCTGACTGTTGGTGACACAGAAAAGGTCTAATTTATCATATTTCAAAACTTCTGTGACAGGCAGTCTCCCTCCTGTCCACTTTGATTGCCAACATCAGCTCCTAGTCATCCCTCAAGTCATTCCTCAGTGTTATGTTTTAAGAAAGTCATTTCCTGGCTTCAAGTCTAAGAACAGCACACTGTTTTTATAATCAATCAGCTAATATTACTGAAACTCTGTGAATGTCTTAAATCCTCTGGGTTGTAACAAGCGTGCCAGTTCGCACTTCTTCATCCCACGTCTAAGCTCTAAATACATCAGGCTGGATTTTGATGTGAGCCCCTAAAATAATGACGTGCTTGTGCCGCCGCTCTACAGCTGCGACACTCTGCTCCGCTGCGCTGCGCTGCCAGTCCTGTTTGGAGGGCTCTCCAGATTAAATTAGTTTAATCGCATCCAACGTTTTGGTTCAGTTATTCGGGACATGGGCCAGGACACGGTGCTTAAGTCTAATTTGGAGAAAGAAGCCAATGTTTGGGGAGCAAACATCAACCACACGCCCGCTCCAAATCAGTGACTAGAGTGCACACTTGCAGGGCTTGTGTGTAGTGTGTCAAAACAGAGTCATTGTTGCCACTCTAACAGTTCGACCAAATGGACCCATGCTGTACTACAGTGGCACCCCCCGTGAATAGCTCTTGTGCTGTTGATTAGCCCCTTGACTTCATGAACAGCTCACAGTTAAACAGAGAAACAAAGACCGTATCTCAGGGTGAGCACGTTGGGGCAGAAGGTTCGTCCACTCTGGGAGTTAAAGAGCCCCGGGAGAGAACGCGACAGAGTGGCAAAACAAAGATGTCGTGACCCTCTACATCTTGTCTGCATTTTAGAAAATCAAAACCTTCGTTTCCATTTGTGATTAGAGAGTCATTTTGGCTATCTCCTATGCGGCGTCTAGAGTCGGGCTCTCGCTTTCAGGCTCCCCCATTCTCATTATAATTAACCTGCTTACCCTTCTCTCTGAGACAGAAAGAGGTGGCATTTGAGGAGTCATTACCATGCCGTACCAGCGGACCTGCAGACAAGCTGCATTCAGCAGGAAGTGGGCAAGAAAGCACACAGCAGGCATTTTCATGAGCTATTATCGTTAATTTGACCCACTGACTAAGCTCAAAACTTAAGAAGTTTGGATGAACTTCTTAAAAGTTCTAAAAAACCCCATGTTCTGTTTTCCTGCTGGGGAAAAGATTATATAAATTGATCTCTTGCACGCACCTACTACCAAGAAGCTTTCTACTTTCAGAGCATTTTGTTTCAGTGAGGGCTTTACAAATGCTCACTTTGGTCACATATGTGTTAATTTCGAGCTTTTGAATAACCATAGTGTTTTGTGTTTCACAGTAGAAATATATTAGAGCACATGCTTTCAATTGTTTTTAAAACAATAACTGTTGGGGAAAAAAAATCAGTTGTAATTTATTGTGGATAATCCCTCGTTAACAGGATTATGGATTTATCTAAACGCACATCCCTACTAAAATTTATTTTAATATTTCCACACCATGTTGAAATTCTGTTGATTTTTGAGCCCTTTTCTAGTTCATTTAAATTAGACATTCTTTGACAACGACCTGATTTTAAAAGTGCAGTATGTAACTTTTTCAAACTTATTTATAGTTTTTTTTTTACATATTTGTCAAAATTGTCACTATGTGCTGACATTATAAAATGAGACAGAAAATGTGTGTGTGTGTGGGGGGGGGAATGGAAGCCCCTCTGCTTTATCTGCAGAAAAGTACAGCAAAAGAACTAATCAGAGCCAGGAGGAATGTCTTAGCGCTGACAATCGAGCTCGTGTATGCACTGCTCACATCTTTTTCCACACAGTTTGTTCAAGTTCAAGATTACGGATTTGCGTCAGGTCATAATGACAGTGTAAAAAACATATTTTTATAAAAGTTATCTAGTACAGCGTTAAGCTCCACTTACTTTGATACTGCATGATATTGGTCTTCTGTTAACAGTGAGATATACATTTGAATAACTTCTGCATACTTTGTAAAATAT